CCTGGCCTCTTAAATATCAATAAAAGATGGACTAGCCACTAGGAAAACTCAAATGGACAAATCTACCTGTTTTTCTAAGATACATTTTGAGTAATTTGCCAGATTTTTCTTATATAATCCTCACAAAAATTCACTCATGCCCACAGACATATATACATGTGAGTTTTCACCCAGAGAAAAGTCTATGTGCATTTTAATCGAGTGTTTTTATTGTCCCTTACAGTTGTTGAGATTCACATGACATTTAAATCTAATTGATTAATTAATTTCCCTATTGGACATGCTTTGGATATCCATTTTTATTATATAATTGCACTGCAAAATTTGGAGAAATGCAAAAACTGAACAATGTATCCCGTTCCGGTTCATGTCATCCCTCAGAAGGTCAAATTAGATTGATTTACACTAAAATGCAACAATAGGCATTATTTATCTGACTCTGAATTGAATTGGGTGGTCAGAAGCAAGTTTTATGCATAATTCTACCAGCGTATTCATACTGAGAGATGCATGAAGGAATGTGATAGCAAAATACATTAGCCTTCCCATCACATCCGCAACAGTAAAGTAGAATGTATGGAATTTTTATTGAACACTATGCATTATTTGCATTTTAAGGTTGCTTGAAATCAGCATAAGAAGCAGCTGATAGATGGGAGCTAGAAAAGATTTCCATAGATTTGCTTTTCGTTGGGAGAGATGAGGATAAATCAGTTTAGCAAACAATATTAATTTTAATGGTTAATCCTATCTTTTGATTTTAACGGATCTGTAAGGTGCCTTACATGAATGAAATCAACCAACATCAAAGACAATCTCTAGAATCAACTTCAAAATATTTTATTTAGATGCAGTAATGAATATTGAGAAATCTTATCCCAAAACCGTAAGTCTCACTTGTCAAATCTAACCTGTCAAATGAATCAAATGTCTCCCAAGGAGCACATATACACATCAAAAACATGGTTAACATCGCAAAAATGGAGGGTGGATTTGTGCAAAACAGAATTAGAAAATATACTGTGTATGGTCGTATTATGCAGCTGTTTTCAACACAAAGACAACAACCCAATGTAGTTTGCCATTAGTTTATCTTCCAAGCCCAAACTTACAACTCTCTGGACTTTTATGCTCCACTGACAATATGAAAAAAAGCCTCCTTTAATGTAAAAAATAAATAAATACTTTTAGACACATGAAACTCTCCTCCGTGAATTTCATTAAATCTGGTTTATACTGACAAGATGATAGACAAGGCATTTTTTTTGTTTTATTTTGAAGTGTAAGTCTTATGCAAGGAATTTAATATATCAATCATGTGTGTAACGATAAATAGGATGGAAAATAAAATTAGGGTAGGGAAATATCCTACCTTCTTAAAAAAAAAAAAAAACCTCCAGTATTATACAATACGGTCCCCACCTGAAATAGCTAGGGGAGCTTTCAAAACCTTGCAGCTATTGAAGGAACAGTTCGTCATCTGTTTTCCAGAGAAAAGAATATTGTGCAAACACAAAGGCAGAAGAATTTAAGTCCATGTAAAGTCCTCTTAGGTACAAAAGGGTCATCAACTTCACTCAGCAGAGCTACTGTGCACTAATGAAAGCTTCAGCATCCAGAAACAAAGAGGGAGCCTGCATTAGGCCGCAATCCAATTGTATTTATTTCCTAGTAATAGCATACCTACCTCTTTTTGTGCTTTCTATTTTTTGAGAGGGGAGAAGGGAGGATAAGGCGAAGGGGGCTTTTAGAGAACTATGCTGCTTGCCTAACTTTGGTTTATCACAGTAGTTCAAAAGAAAAAGCAAAAAAAAAAATATCAAAGAGAAAAAGGGGGGTGGAAGCCTCACGGAAAGTCCTACAACCCTCATTCCAGGCATGATGTCATATAATACGGGTACTATTGTGTTGAGTTGAGTTGTGTACTGTTTCAGGTGAGACAGTACACAACTCAACAAAGGGCAACTGGCAGAAGCTCCCTACTCCAGTTTTTGAGGGAGAATGGGGCTGTAGCCACATTAGGTTGCTGACTTATCTTTTGTGTTTTTGTAATGTTTAGGCTTGACAAGGAAGACGTAACAGCTGTGGTGGCGCAGTGGTTAGAATGCGGTATAGGAGGTTAACTCACTGCTCATTCCGGGAGTTCGATCATGACTGGCTCAAGGTTTGCTCAGCCATCCATCAAAATTCCATAAAATGAGGACCCAAATAGTTGGGGGCAATATGCTGACTCTGTAAACCGCTTAGAGAGGGCTGTAAAGCATTGTGAAGTGGTATATAAATTTAGGTGCTAATACTATTGCTATTACAGAGAGGGAAGATTAAAGAGCCCGATCTCAAAAGTATATTATGTGTTCATAGTAACAATCCTGTGATTGCCACATATTAAATTGATATACAGGTAGTCCTCAACTTACAGCCATAATTGACCCCAAAATGTATGTTGTTAAGTGAGAAATTTGTTAAGTGAGCTTTCCCCATTTTACGACTTGCCATATTTGTTAAATGAATCTTTGGTTGTCAGAAAGTCGCAAAAGGTCATTACATGACTCTAGGACATTGCAACCATCATAAATATGAGCCAATTGTCAAGTGTCTGAATGTTGATTACGTAACCATGGGCAACTTATGATGCAATGGCCATAAATGTGAAAAACGGTCACTTTTTGAATGCTGTTGTAACTTCAGTCACTAAATGAACTGTTGTCAATTAAGGACTATTTGTATGTAGTGAAATGGACACCCCTGTTACATTATTCCTTGAAACCACTTGACAACCAAAATGTCCAGGGATTAAAGGATTTTTTGACTTTCTCCTTCTAAAATAAGAGAGAAAACTAAATTTGGTTTGCCAAAATTTATGACATCTATCTCCATGCCTACTCAGAATTTAACAGATTAACAGAGTTGGAAGAGACCTTGTAGATCATCTAGTCCAACCCCCTGATCAAGCAGGAGACCCTACACCATTTCTGACACACGGCAGTCCAATCTCTTCTTCAAAGCCTACAGTGATGAAGCTCCCACAACTTCCAAAGGCAACCTCTGTTCCATTGGTTGATTGTTCTCAAGGTCAGAAAATTCCTCCTTATTTCTAGGTTGAATCCCTCCTTGATCAGTTCCCATCCATTATTCCTTCTCTGACCTTCAGTGCCTTGGAAAATAGCTTGACCCCTTCTTCTCCATGCCACTTCCTCAAATATTGGAACACTCCTATCTCTCCTGGTTCTTCTCTTCACTAGACTAGCCATGCCCAATTCCTGTAATCGTTCTTCATACGTTTTAGCCTTCAGTCCCCTAATCATCTTGGTTGCTCTTCTCTGCAGACTTTCTAGAGCCGTGATGGCGAACCTATGGCACACATGCCACAGGTGGCATATGGAGCCCTCTCTGCAGGCATGCAAGGCGTCGCCCAGCTCAGCTCCACCACACAAGCGGCCATGCTTCCCACCGGCCATTTTTGGGTCTCTGCCATGCATGCAGGAGATGCGCGTGCATGCACAAGGAGTTTGTGTGCACATGTGGGTGGGGTCATGTGCACATGGGGGTGAGGGGAGCAGTGGGGGAGTGGCACCCCCCCCTTATTTTTGGTTTTAGGACGCTTAAGGGAGGCCTGCTAGGCCTAAAATGAGCCGTGGGGGTGCAGTGTATCCTACTGCGCCCCTTGTGATCCCAGGAGGTTTCAGGAAGGACCGCTAGGCCCAAAACAGTGGTGCGTGGAGTCATGCACATGCACAGGGGATGAGGGGAGCACGGGGGGATTCTTCATGCATGCACAGGGGGTGGGGCACATTGCATAATGGGCATGGGCACACGAACGTTCTGTCACGCAATTTCAGCATGCAAGGAGAAAACGGTTAGCCCTCACTGTTCTAGAGTCTCAATATCTTTTTTATAGTGTGATGACCAAAACTAGATGCAGTATTCTTACATAAGTGAGCATTTTGATGCCAAAGGAGCAAAAATGATCAAGGCAGTCATAACTCTAAAAGGCCCCACGGTTCCTTTGCACGTCACTAACCAAAGTTAAATTGTATTGAGCCCCCCCCCCCCAAGTCATCATTAAGCAACCTGTTTCTTAATTTATAAAGCAACCAGGATATAAAAACATATTTGCTCTGTTCTCGTTCCTGAGACAGCATCCCACACCCTGGGTCTTCATGGGGACTGATAGGATTGTTTTTCAATCTGAAAAAGATAGTTTCACAGGAAAAATGACCAGACGTATTCCTTTAAAGGCAATGGTACTGGTCAGTGTGTTTATATTTTTACATATTTAGAATGGCACAAACAACCTGAGAGATTGGAGCTGATACCTGTTCAAAGTAACAACTGAGTTAATTTACCACATTTTGGAAAATATGAGCAAAAATGTCCTCACTCCAAATAGTCATTTTGAGTCTTCCAAAGCTGCTGTGAATAAAACATTCACATTCTGGAATATCTCAAAAGCCAAATAAATATTATCAATTTTCTACTAGCTAAAATTATATTCTCTGTGAAGTCTAAAATTCAGATTCACAACACCCTAGCCCATAAAATCTTGTTTGTTATTTTATGGTGAATATTTGAGAGGACAAAGATACTGTTGGATGCGCGCGCACTCACATATGCGCGTGCACAATCACACTCTCTTCCATTTGTCAGAATAATTTCTGCTCGAAAATATTTTATGTCCACAATACAGAATGCATCATTCCAGTCTTTAAACTAAATTCAATCTGTAGTCATAACTAATGGCTGAAAGAAAGCTGTTTGGGCATGGCAGAAACATAGATAATGAACCTCTTAAAATAGTCATAATAATTTCACTTCATTTTCAGTCATCATTCAAGAGGAGAGGATTAACATACACAGAGACATCACGCTACTCTATAAGATTCCTGGCATATAACCAGCAGAGTGCAGAAGAAAGATAAAGAAAAATTTACAACCCTTAGGTTTCTGAAGAGCGCTGGATGGACTTCTAAAATAGGCTGATACGCAAAGCAGACCAATACCTGAGGTATGATTGAAATTTTCTTCCTCAAGTCATGAAGTCCTAGTTCTGATGTCAAATATTTATCAATCCAAATTCTTCCTTGGGGCTCGGCCAACCGGAAAAGAGCAGCTATTAGAGAGCTTTTGCCAGCTCCTGTTCTTCCCACAATTCCAACCTGAAAGACAAAAAATAGAAAAACATATACTAGGGGGAAGAAGGCATTTATAAAGCACTGCTTCTAATTATCTTGCTTATTTTGCCTCTTGTAAGGCAAGATGTACGCGGTAGATATTAGGCAACAAAAGATGCATAAGTATGTCTTCAAAAGGAAGATTTTCTCAGCATTTGAATGATCTAAACCTATTGTTTGATAATATAGTGATTTCGGTTCATTTTTCTCATGTGAAGTAGGAATCAAACAAATATTTTCCCGGCTTAGCACACATGAAGAGATGCCTTATTAGGATTTCTACTCTCACCCTTAAAGCATAACTATCTTATTCCAGGTGTTTAAATTGAACTCAATTTTTAATGTAATTTTATATGTTTCTGAAACTATCATTGTCTAGCTTCAGGCCCTGGGTAGTTTATAAAACGTTATTAATATTTGCTTTTGGAGAGGAATAACAGTGCTTTTGACTCACAATCCTTGAGAGTAATTATGAGTAGTCTTTTAAAAAAAACTTTCTGTCATAACATCAGGAGCACAGGAATAAACATATTTTTCTTTTACATTAAGAAAGTGAAACAGACTTCTTAGATCCAAAGCCTACTTATCAATTTCTAGCTCAGCCATCAGAGACAATTGTATTGAGTTTATTAAACAGCAAAGAGAGGGAGAACAAATGATTGATTGATTAATCAACTGATTAAGTGCCCACAAGTTGGTGTCAATTTTTATTTGAGTGACAGATCAATTCTCTCCAAGATGATCTGTCTTCAAGTTGGTCTTTTAGTTCCATTCATTGCAACTGAAAACTGAATCTATCCACCTTGCTGTAAATCATCCACTTCTTTTCTTTCTTTCAACTTTTCCCAGAATTATGGGCTTCTCAAAGGAACTGCCAAAATATTACAATTTGAGCCCAATCACTGATGTCTTGAGTGAAAATTCTGAATTGATTTGTGGGGTTTTTGTATTCTCAACGGTCTTCTCCAACATTAAAATTTAAAAACATTGGATACACTTTCTATCTTACTTTTTCAAACTCCAGGTTTTGTAATGCCATATGGGGTCATGATGAAAACCTGAACAATTCTAATCTTTGTAAATACAGTCAGGTCTGGACATCTGGACATTTTTTCTAATATTGTCCTCTTTAAATTCAAATAACTATAGTAAAACTGAATTAGGCTTCAACTTCATAATTAAAATATCTAAACTGTCCTTAAAATTACTCTGATTTCCTAAAATTCAGGAATGCTAAAATAGGTATTACATTTTAGAAATGCTATTTTTTTAAAAAAACAGAATGTTGACCCAAACATCAGAGGAAGAAGAAAAAGATCAAAAACAAGATGTGTGAACCTAACTTTTTTTTTCAAGTGAGCTAAAAAGTCAACAAGGTGAATTTCACATGATGAAAACCATTTAATCCCATTTCTGCATTAACTCTCTTTTAAAAAAAAAAAATCTGCGTGAAAGTTTGTCAGTAATATTATGAGACCTTTAAATGCATTTCTCATATTATTTTTGTCTTTAACTGGGAAATGCTGCTTTTTATCTCCATCAGTATATTTTTTTTTAAAAAAAATCAAGATGTATACTGTGAAATCAGGAGCAGTGAGATTCTGAATTCCCATTCACTAGGAGGTGCTACCTAGCATAAGATCACAGCAACATTCAGAAATTCTTCAAACTTCTCTTTCAGCCACAAAAGCCCACCAGCTGTTTTTCTTCACTTGGGGCAACATGATTTACCCTCTTCTTTGCATCAACAGAATAATTGGAGAATTAGTTGACACAAACTCTCAGCAACCTCTCTTTCAGTTGTCTTAATTGCTGCAGATGAAAGCTCCTGAGGGAACTTGGCTAATCATAAAAACACTAAACAAAGTCAGATCTATCTTTTAGATTAGATTAACAGAGCTGGAAGGGACCTTGTAGGACATCTAGTCCACCCCACCCCACCCCACCCCCGGACAAGCAGGGGTCCAAGGGAAACTAGAAGAAGATCCCAGAAGTGTATCCCAGACTGTAAAGTTGCAGAATACATCCCCAAAAGCAGCAGTGGCAAAACACTTGCTTATTTCTGCTAAAAAACCAGCCTGGGTACGTTCATTCAGCAACATATTCCCTCTCTTCCTAGTCATGTTCCTTTGGTTTGTTACTTTGCATGGCATCTCAATCCTTATCCGCTATTAGAAGAGTGCATGACTACTGCAAGAGGTGGCCCAAAGGCAAATAAAAGTATGAAAGTGATAAAGAGATATCTTGCATAAATTCATAGAGGCTTCCGCTTCCCCATGAAGTCATCTCTGCAAAATAAAAGCCACGCTTTTATATAGTAGATTTACATAAACAGTATTTTAAATAAGTGGAATTATTCTTTCTGAGATTAACCAGGAATTAAGGGGATGAAGCAGCATCTTATAAAATGGGAGGGACATCTGAGAAGAGAACTGAAGAGACTCATAACGTACCAGAAACCTAACCTCCCTCTCTAATTGTTCATTCAACCCCATTTTGCAGTATTTTTAAAACCATCTTTGCAAATCCTCCAGTGCTTCAGGTAGGGCCAACAATCCTGGGCTGAATATTAATTCAGGGTTTCAGATTTATTATACTTCTGTCCTGGACCAGCCTAGGATAATATTTAAAACTAGAAATTCATGGATCTTTCCAAACCTAATATCTACTGTACAATACAAACTATAAAAAGGTAATTAAAAATTAAATTTATAGCCTAGAACTAGAAAATCCATTTTATAAGACAAAGTATAACTAAGTAACATGATTCTTATTAAGCATACATACAGTGATGTATCAAAATTAATGTACAAGGTAATCGTTGAAAATTACTACAGAATTAATAAAGTATGAAACAATATTATTTTACACTATCTATAAAAATAAAAATATGAAAGTAGTAAAATATGGCAATAACACTGTTTAATACTGTTAACCAAAATGATAGAAAACTGAAGGTAGAAATACGCTAACACAATTACATAAGAATTTAATAGTCTGTACTATAGTCTCTAGAAGACTTCACAAGCTGCTGCAGAATGCTATATGTTAGAATTATAAGCAAAACAAGTGGAAAGGCCTAAATTGATCATTATGAACAGCTTGTAAATACTGAGGAAATGAGAGATTGTCAAATGTCTCTATAAAATGGGTACTAAAGAAAGCTAATTATTTCAGTATGCTAATATTCAAAGGGACATAAGAGGTTGCTCTCAGCATTTAAAATCTCTCACGGTCTAAGCCTCCTGAGAAACTGGCCCCAAATCACTGAATGTGGATGAATTTGAATGTAGGTATTTCCAATCTTACTCTAACATCCTAAGTATTATACCAGACGATCATATATATGGTTGTGTGTGTGTGTATGTTCCAGCATAACTCTGGAACGCCCTGAGCAATTTCAATCAAACTTTGTACACAGATAACTTACTCTCTAGAAACAAATACTGTGGGGGTAAGACATCCCTATAAGCCCTCAAAGAGGGGGTGTTCTGTTACGATACAGCCTGTTGTGCCTTCAAATTACAGGTTTCTACTGTACTGCCCTAAAATGGCTTCTACTGTATAGTGCAGTGGAGTTGCCATGGTAACGGCTTCACAGTACTCCACAAGGGGGCTCCGTCTGGTAAGGGGGGAAATCCAACATTAGCAATTACGTTTGATCTGGACTTTCCCCCCCTATAAATAAATACCTGGACAACATCGGGTTATCAGCTATACTATCAGCTAGTATTAATACATTATTAATCATTAATATAATAATACAAATCATTTAACAACATATTATTCCAGAATTTAATTGATTATTCTTCAGTGAAAAATCAGATTAAGGTTGAACAAAGACAGACATTTTTCCAATTTGTCAGGTCAACCAAAGTTGATTTGAGTAGTAATTGCAGCACAAATAAACATTATATTTCATCTCCTCCTTCGATCCTAAAATAGCTAAAACGAGAGGCCAGAATGAGAAAATTGATCTTTGCCCAAATGACAAAGAATTGTGAATATATAGACGAGATGGGGAATGGCAGAAAATAAATTCTCTAAGACTAACATTACTGACTCTCCTTAAAAGAAAATACAAGTAGTCCTTGACTTACAACAGTTCACTCAGTGACTGTTTGAAGTCACTAAAGTGGCTAGAGTGCTGTTTACAGTGCTGTAGTTACAACAGTGCTGAAAAATACAACTTATGACTGTTTTTCACAGTTACAACCTTTGCAGCATCTCGAAGATCATGTGATTAAAATTCAGATGCTTGGCAACGGATTCATACTTATGACAGTCGCCATGTCCCTAGGTCATGTGATCTCCTTTTTGTGACCTTCTGACAAGCAAAGTCAATGTGAGAGATTTACTTAACAACTGGGTTACTAACTTATTAGCTGCAGTGATTCACGTAACAACTGTGGCAAGAAAGGTCACAAAATGGGCCAAAGCTCACTTAAACTAATGTCCCACTTAACAACAGAAATTTTGGGCTCAATTGTGGTCATAATTTGAGGACTACTGGTATGCAACGTGTGAAGTCATGCCTATAGAACCCAATCACAGTTAAGATTCTTTTTACCATTCTGACTCAAAAGTAAAATTAACACCTACATACTTTTTCTTTAGATTTAATTAAAACAGACAAATGTTTCAACACTAAAGGACCATCTGCACTGTAAGCGAAGTTCACATCATCAAACGCAATCACTCCTTCAGTTGGCCACTCTGCTGGTGGACGTTTATAGGTATGCCATGGTGCTTCCTGTTCCAATTCGGTGTATTCCGTTACTCGTTCCACTGATATCATCTGAAATAGAGAAACAAATGTTGATTCCTAGGTATTTACTGATCATAATGCAGTAATCCCTTGAGGATTTATTTTCAGGTTTTAAGTAGAATAAGATTCAATACTTGCCAGAGTTATTTGTACCTGAATAAGTAGACTTCTGAGAAAAAGGGGAGGAGCATAAATCAAATAAATAAGTGAAAAAATATTTTGAAGCAATCGTATTTTCATATATCTGGAACAAACCTACAATATATCTTGGTGTTAATCTATGTCTTCTATGTCTGAAAACAACACTCCACAACTGTGGGATTTATAAATCTTAATTATATCCCTCTTCAGTGTGCACTGGAGTAAACTACAGCAATTAAACACCATATTTTTGGAGTATAAGACGCACCTTTTTTCCTCAGAAAAGAGGCTGAAAATCTGGGTGCGTCTTATACATCGAATACAGCATTTTTTGCTTCCCGAAGCCCTGCTCCCTTCACCTCCATAAGGCTATGCATGCAACTTTTTTTGACAAAAAACAGACCCGTTTTTAGGAAAAATGGGCCATTTTCTGCTTGTTTTTGGCCCCCACTCCCCAGGAGCACTCTGCAAGCCCCACCAAGGCTATTCATGCCTCTTTTTTTAAAAGAAAATGGGCCCATTTTCATGAAAAACGGGCCGTTTTTGGGAGGTTTGCAGAGTGCAAAAACATTTTTCCCCCTTTTGGAAAGCTCTTTAACTGGTTGATGAAAATTACATTGATCAAATGCTGCGCCAGCAGAAAAAAAGTCTTAGGTGCTGCAGATTGTCAGCGATTTCCTTCTCCAGCACATGGATAAATACACCTGGAAACATCTACCTACCTACCTACTCTCTCTCTCCCTACCTACCTACTGTATTTCTCTTTCTATTTCTACCTCTCTATCCCTCTACCTACATACCTACCTACACTCACACTCTCTCTCCTTACCTACCTACTGTATTTCTCTATCTCTCTCTACTTCTGTCTCCCTATCCCTATCCCTTTATCTACCTACCTACCTAACTACTCTCTTTCTCTCCCTCCCTACCTAATGTATTTCTCTCTCTTTCTCTCCCTCTATCTACCTACCTACTCTCTTTCTCCCTCCCTCCCTACTGTATTTCTCTATCTCTTTTTATTTCTCTCTCTATCCCTCTACCTACCTACCTACACACTTTCTCTCTCTCCCTACCTACCTACTGCATCTCTCTCTCTTTCTCTCTCTCTCCCTCTATCTACCTACCTACTCTCTTTCTCCCTATCTATATACTGTATTTCTCTCTCTCTCTTTCTATTTCTCTCTCTATCCCTCTACCTACCTACCTACACACTTTCTCTCTCTCCCTACCTACCTACTGCATCTCTCTCTCTTTCTCTCTCTCTCCCTCTATCTACCTACCTACTCTCTTTCTCCCTATCTATATACTGTATTTCTCTCTCTCTCTTTCTATTTCTCTCTCTATCCCTCTACCTACCTACCTACACACTTTCTCTCTCTCCCTACCTACCTACTGCATCTCTCTCTCTTTCTCTCTCTCTCCCTCTATCTACCTAC